CTGCTTCCCAACAACGTTACTCTACAGAAAGAATGTACACCATTTTGTTGGGTAACTAGCTGTCTTTGCAGTGGTTTGATTCAAAACCCTACTCCACAAACCTTTAAATTGACAATACCCTTTTCCCCTTGTCTCTTACTTCACCATGGTAATCAATTTAATCGGATTAATATCGTGCCTCATAGTAAAATATCAAATATAAATGATTCAGGGATGCAGCAGCATATTATGGCTTTAAAATGAATGTAACCAATGGTTTATACAAAAACAGTTTAGAGATTCTAGCCTGGAGCTGTTTTTTCATAGGGGTAAATGTGAACTACCATGAGCCAGAGACTTTTATGTGAGTTACCTTATTTACTCAGGACAATAAATAAAATAGATGTAACCATTCTCTTTTACAACTGTGGGATATGGGGCTCAAAGAATTTAACCAACTTCCTCAAGATTGGATAGCTGGAAAGTGATAGGATCAAAATTCAATATTAGATTTTGAATATTACCTCAGCCTATGTTTTCACCATTTCCCCAATTTGTGACACCTGTTCAAATTCAAGAAGGAGGATGGGCTTAAAATAGAAGACCTTGAGAAAGGAAATGGCGGTCTGCAAATGAAGACCTGAAATCATTCAGAGGTTTACCATTATCACAAGAAAAGTGACGTGCAAAATGTTTTCATTCTTTGGAAAGTGTGATGGGTTTATTAGATTTATGTATTCAGTTCAAATCATCTTTGACAAGCTGTCTCTTGAGTATGAACTCTATATGACAAAACCGTCATTAAAATAACCAACTGGAGTAGATAGTAATAGTTAAACTAGTCTCTATGCAATTTTTTTGTCTGCCAGATTTAAAATATTCAACACAGAGAAAAGGTGCTTAAATAATGGTTACCTTTAGAAGATAGTGGTTGGGACTGGGAAGGGACACAAAGAAATAAATCTGGAGTGCTGACAGTATTTTATATTTTCATAAGGATAGTGATGACAGAAGTGTATGTGCTTTATAGAAATTAATCTGTTACCAAAAAATTGTGCACCTTAGTGTGTGCATTTCACATCAAAAACATTTGATAACAGATTTCAACTCTTGAGAAGGATATAATATGTCATAGCAGGCCAAACATTCTCTAACAACTAGAAAAAAAATACTTTAGTATTTTAGTTTTAAAAACATCAGAAATCTTAACAAATAGTCGAGAATTAACAAATTAAAATTTCAGAGCAGAGAACCTTTGTTAGGTGAACTGATGATCTCTAGCAGAACCCTTCCTTCGCTTCCTCTCTTCCCTCCTGCCCTACCCCGACAATTTCCCATTGCCTGTGTAGGCTAAGGACTGAGTTTGGCACAAGCAGAGGGCCTTTGCAAGGGAAAAGGAAATCAGCAAGGCCAGGTGCGGTGGCTCATGCCTGTAATTCTAGCACTTTGGGAGGCCAAGGCAGGTGGATCACCGGCGGTTGGGAGTTCAAGGCCAGTCTGACCAACATGGAGAAACCCCGTCTCTACCAAAAATACAAAATTAGCCAGGCGTGGTGGTGCATGCCTGTAATCCCAGCTACTCAGGAGTCTGAGGCAGGAGAATCACTTGACCCTGGGAGGTGTAGGTTGCAGTAAGCCAAGATCTGCCATTGCATTCCAGCCTGGGCAACAAGAGTGAAACCCCATCTCAAGAAAAAAAAAAAGAAAGAAAGAAAAGAAGAAACCACCAATGCATTCAGTGGCCACATAGGTCTGGAGAAAAAATTAAATAATTGGGAACTTCAAACTCAAAGGTAGTTTACAAATGCTGAATTCTAGGGTTGCCCAGAGGCTGGGGAATTATAGAGTTTTCAAAAGGAAAAGGAAATCTTCTGCAGTGTGTGTGTGTGTGTGTGTGTGTGTGTGTGTGTACATGCGCATGCGTGCCTAGGAAGCAATATTCTTCATGGGAAGAAATCAGCTTCAATTGTATAGCAGATATTTTCCTCATTACATTTATCAGAATATGAAGTTTCTTAGAGCATGAAGTTGGAGACTTGGAAACCTCTCAAGGTTAGAGATACATCACCTAAAGTTTTTGTAAGCTGAGAAGGTAGATACTGAACAGTTTTCCAAAAAAAAAAAAGAAAGAGAAAAAAAGAAAAAAAAAAGTTAGTTAGAAAATGCTGAATTCCTGATTTAATTGAAGCAATCAATCCCCTATCTAATCTGCCTAACTGATGAAGGGGGAAACCTTCCTGGGAGTAGATAGCTGGTCTTTTACTTCTCAAAAAACCTTGACCTCTTTACACAAATTGATACATTTCTTTCTAAGTGACTGTCTTTTCACAGCAAGGTTTTAGTTTGTCTTCTAGGGTAATTGATCCATAGGAGATATTTTACTCTTAATCCCAGGACAAGGCACTTTACTTCCAAAGTGTCATATATTCTGAAGAATAAGATCTGCATTAGCAAGAAACATGCTTTATGAAATCAGTTACTCCTCCCTGGGCAAGCTGAGTTGACTGATAGAATTTGATGAATGTATGTTGGATTGAATTGAGCAATCTTTTCAAGAATTTAGGGCAGTTTTAAAAAACTTTTTACTAACTATAAAAATGCTTACAAAGACTAAATGATTGTTTCTGACCAAATAGCAAATTATGAACTGAGCTGAGAGACTACAAGACACACTCCAATGGTTTTTGGATATTGTTGGTATGCATCAAAATTACTTGGGAAGATTACAAAGCAGATACCAAGTCTCATAAGAATTGAGAAAAAACTGCTTCATTTAAAGAGTTCAGACTTTGGATTCAGATGGGTCTGAATTCCAGCTTTGCCTCTGATTAACTTTAGGCCAATTATTTAAAATCTCAGAACCCAGTTTCTTCAGTTGTCAAAAGAACTAAACAATCCTTGGCTTAATCCTGGAGCTGGTGTAAAGGTTAAGTGACATACATAAATACTGTTAATCCCAAAGTATCTGAGACAGGTCTCAATCAATTTAGAAAGTTAATTTTGCCAAGGTTAAGGCTGCACCTGTGACACACCCTCAGGAGGTTCTGATGATGACATGTGCCTAAGCTTGCTTTTATACATTTGGGGGAGACATAATACATCAATCATTACATGCAAGACTTATATTGGTTCCATCTAAAAAGGTGGGACAACTCAAAGCAGGGGCTTCCAGGTCATAGATAGATTTAAAATTTTTCTGATTGGCAATTGGTCGAAAGAGTTATTTTCAATATAAAAGAATGTCTGGGTTACAATAAGGGGTTGTGGAGACCAAGGTTTGATCATGCAGTTGAAGTCTCCAGGTAGCAGGCTTCAGAGAGTATAGATTGTAAATATTTCTTATCAGACTTAAGGTCTGTGTTAATGTTAGTGTTAGTTGGCTTTTCCTGAATTCCAAAGTGGAGGAGGACATAATGAGGCATGCCTGACACCCACTTCCCATCACAGCCTGAACTAATTTTTCAAGTTAACTTTGGAATGCCCTCGGCTGAGGGAAGGTGTCCATTCAGATGGTTGGGGGGCCTTATAATTTTATTTTTGTTGTAATACCTAAGATAACATGTAGCACATAATACATGCTCAATAAATATTTATTTACTTTCCCTTCCTTGGGCTAGAACCCATTCCCACCTACCTTTTAGCCCTGTGATCATTTTGGTAAATTTAAGTAGAAATCTTTTGAATTGGTCAAGTCTGTTGAATAGCCACACAGTAGGAAGATGATGGAAACTCACAAAATGGATCTTAGATACTAGAAAGAATCTTTCCGGATTCTGACTCACCCAGAACATATAAAGGTCTAGGACACATAGGTGATAGTAGCCAGCAAACACACAGAACATCAGGACCAAGACAAGACCAGTAGTTTGGCTTACAAGTTCCAAAAGTTTAAATAACTGCCTTGAGGAAACAGGGTAATTGGAAGTAAATTTGGCAGGGAACTTGTGAAGCAAGCTTTTCTTAGGCAGCTGTGTTAAAGAATCCCCTGTGAGAAGCAACTGCCTGCAAACTTAGTGAATTTCAGAATTCAACCACCACCTCTGACAGGTTCTGTGACAAGCAAACTCTATTCAGGCCAAGAAAAGTGGATGGTCTTTTTCCTTCTTTTAATTGCACATTCTCATTTTTCTTACTCTTTAATAATAGATTGTTATAAAATTTAGCCAAATATCCTAGCACTCTAGGAAAATCATGCAAGATAAAAAAATCAGCAATTAATATATAAAAATACTATAAATTACTCTTGTGCAGATCAATACAATTTACAAAGCACTTTACATATGCAGTGTCCTCTAGAAAGTACATGACAGCTACATTAAGTAGATATTATTATCATAATTAACTTACAAATGAGGATACTGAAACTTAGAAAGGGTAAGCAAATTGCCAAAATGGCAAGTAACAATGCTAGGATTTAATTCTGTATTTGTACTCTATTCATTTGTCCATTTAATTGTCTATTTATTTAATTATTAATTATTGCAGAAATATTTATTGATATCTTACTGTGTGCTAAGGTGCTGAGTGTTTGGTGTTTTGAAGCCAAAAAGCACAGTGCTGATTTTCAAAGAAGTCATAGATCAATATGGGGATAGAGTTCTACAGAAGTAATTCCAATTACGTATGATGAATTTAAAAGAGTAGGTAATTGAGAAATTAGATGAGATACATGAAAAAATAATCAACTTTGCTTAGATGATCAGCCAAAAATTAGAATTTTTACTCAATGGGTACTTACTATGGTATTAAGTCCTTTAAAGGTATTATTTCATGTAATCCTAAATATGTTGTATATATTAGAGATTTTTATTTCATTTTCTAAATGATTAATCTAAGGTGCAGAACAGCGATAACAAGTCATGGTTGCATAGCTAGTAAGTAGTGAGAACTACGTCTGTTTGCTTCCAAAGCTCCAGCCCACAACCATTATATGTATTACCTCTGAGACAGTCGTCCAGGAGGAGATGCTTTGGTTTGGTGCTGAAGACTGCAGGTGTTTATTCATTAGACATGTTGGGAATGATACTTCAGGATAAGAGAGCAGCATGTACAAACTCTAGAGTTTGGAGACAAGCCCCTGGGTCCGTGGAGCCCCGCGGAGTTCAGTATTGTTGATTTATTACCACCCTTGAAGAGTGTTGAGCTGTGAGGCTGAAGAGACAGCCCTTGGCCATATCACAAGCTGTCCTAGAAAGCCTATGAGATAAGTAGGTGTGGTTCAGAATCACTAAAAGATCTAGGCCTCAAAAGTACATAGTAGGATTACTACTTTGGAGTAATTAAACTGTAACATTGTGATTCAGTCTACCATTCTGTAGCTAACCAGTAATTCACCCAATTAAGATATATTCTTACATTTCTTAAAATACGTCCTTAATGAGTACAGAAAGGAACAGAACAGGAAGTTTAGTGGAAATAATATAACACAGATAACACAGATGTTGTTCAGTTAGGCAAGCCTTCTTGTTTCCTGTAATTTTTTTTCTGTAATGTGAAATGCTAGTAATGAATATAATCTGCACTGGTCACCAAAATTTGTGAACATCCCATATAGTTTCATATCAAACTGTGTAGTACATTGTGAAAGGCAAGAAACATACATGTAGTTAGTTATTATACCCACCCCTAATCACCCTTTGAGGACCTAACCTTCCTGGTGTGTTGGCATAGTAGTGACAGGTTTTTTTGTAGTGCAGATGTCAGTCTGATACTGAGTGCTTCCTAATAATAATTTACAGAAAGGAAGGAAGGTCTCAGGCTTGGACTTGCTTACTGAAAACAGGACTGGTGCTGGGGGAGCTGACTGACCTGCAGATCTTGAAGGAAGACTGAGCCTGACTGAGGGTTATGGTCATAGCAAGGTGTGGTCCAGGCAAACAATGGGTGTCCAGGATGAAATGGTAGTTGTTCTTCACAGGGAAAAGAGCTCAGAGGCCTGGAAGGGGAGAAGACTAGGTGTCTAAGTGTTCAGGCAATCAACTGTTGGAAGGATTACTACTTTGGAGTAATCAAACTGTAACATTGTAATTCAGTCTACCATTCTGTAGCTAACCAATAATTCACCCAATTAAGATATATTCTTACATTTCTTAAAATACGTCCTTAAGGAGTACAGAAAGGAACAGAACAGGAAGTTTACTCCAAAGGATTACTTCTTTGGAGAAATTAAACTGTAACATTGTGATTCGGTCACAACAGGGCTGGAATTTCATGCCTAAATATTGTCCTCTGCCTCCAGCCTAATGTTTTAACTTTTCTTTTTCTTTTTTTCAGAGACGGGGATTTGCTCTGTCACCCAAGCTGGAGAGCAGTGGTATGATCAATGCATGCTGTAACCTCAAATTCCTGGCTGTGATTGATTTCTCTGTTTCAGTCTCCTGAGTAGCTGGGACTACAGGTGCATGCCACTGCACTTGGCTAATTTTATTTTTTATAGAGATAAGGTCTCACTACATTGCCCAGGCACTGGTCTTAAACCCCCAGCCTCAAGTGATCCTCCCACTTTGGTCTGCTAAAGCGCTAGCATTGCAGCTGTGAGCCACAGAGCCTGGCTCCTCCAGTCTAATTTCTGACTGTCAGGAAGCAGTCTCACATTCCATTTCCAGTGAGAAGACAGTTATTGCCCTGACCAAAACAAGGCCTTTTTTGTTTGTTTTTTACATGCCTAAACAAAAATGGCCGCACGCAAATTCCACATGGTTCATTAATTTTTCTCCAATCCATGTTTTTTACATGTTTTGCTACATTAAGTTTCCTAAGGAAGTTCCAGTCATCATTTTTCTGCTCCAAATCTTCCTACGTACTCACTGCCTTCTATAATATGGCTGCAGGTTTAGTCCAATCTCTATTATTTTCCCACAGACAGTTATCATATATAGTATTTTATCATCAAAGTAGAGCATTTTCACCACCACCTTATGTTTATCTCAGGCTTTGCTCTTGTTGTGACTTTGCTTATATTTTCCCTAGATCTCTAGATGTGCTAATTCTACTCATTAATTCTTCAAGGAGCTCTTTTCATGAAGCATCTCCTTATCTGTATCTAGCTGATCATTTCTTCTTTTGAAATTTATTGTATTTACACTTACTACTTCCACAGAACCAAAATTTCTCATAAATAATCAAGAAAAGTATACTCCATAAAGAAAAATGCATAAAGACTCATTTTAAAGATAAAAGGTATTTTGGTTTTGATATTATCTACAGACCTGATACTCCATTAAGATGCATTGGTAGAGAAAATAGTACTTTTTTCAGTAACTTCTCAAAAGCATATACTGTGGTTTAGCAAACTTACTCCAAAAATTGTGTTGTCCTGCTTTGCTGAAAGTGTTCATGAAGCTGAGTCCAGGCTCAGTGAAGAGGAAACTCATCATTTATTGGTTATGTCTGCCATGGACAGTATGACCTGGGGAAACACACTGGAAGCAAGAAGGCCAAGTGCTTATTGTCACTGAATAAAATAGTATAATAATAGGTTATGTGCTGGGGTCATGAAATAAGGGAACCAAGAAGGGAGCATAAGTTGTTGGAAGGAATGCACTCTGGAGTCCCTTGGCAACCTCTATTTCTGGCTCACTCTCTGATCACGGGGAAATGACATGACTTTGCTTTGAAGCTGTGGAGTGAGTAGTTCCATCCAGTGATCTCTAAGGTACCTTCTATTTCTAACCATGATTGAAGGTTCTTTTCCTAATTAATGTGTTCAGTGACAAGATATATTGTTGATCATTAATTATTTGTTTCTAAATGTCACACCATTCATTGACCTGTCATTGTCTAAACATATCAAAAGCATCCCAAATCATAATCATCTTGTCTGCAGTTAATATCACCTCATATGAAAGATGAAATGTTAATATTGTGCTTTAAGTAGTATGAATAATCAGGTTAAAAAGGCTGTTAGACTCAAGATCTGAAATACATGTTCACATGCATACATACATTTGCAAAATTTAGAGGCTTATGAGAGCTGACCTGATAGAAACTATAACTCCAAATTTTTCAAATATATATGAGAACTGGAAAATTATGAATTAGAAGCAGCAGTGTTAAACAAATACTTAAGTGCTTTTAATTTGGAAAATGTTACAATAGTGACTATAAGAGGTGTAAAGGAGAGTTCTGAATTACTAGTTAGCTAACAGCCTAATCATACAGACATGACATTTTCATCAAATTCAATTCATGAAAAAAACACACAAATTGTATATGCCAAGCATTGTATAAGCTATGCAGGATATAGTCGTGAACAGATAAATATTGTTCCTGTACTCACACAGACTACAAATAAAGGGCTCTTACAAATTGATTATTTAAAGCCCTTAAATGAAGAAACAGAGATAAAGAGGAATTAATTACTTTCTAAGATCAAAATTGTAGTTGAGTGGCAAAGTCAAGTTAGCAACATATGTGTTGGAATTCTGGTGCAATACTGCTTCTATGGCTCAAATGGTAATATGATTATTTAAATTAAAGTATACTTTATGTACAGTGAAATGCACAGGTCATAATTTTAAAAGCTACTGTTTTGGAAAATGTATATGCGTGTGTATCCAACAACCTAATGAAGTTATAGAATACTTATATTACCTTAGAAAGTTTTTTCATGCCCTCTTTCAGCTAATCTTCACCCTCTCCACAGGCAACTATTTTTCTAATTTGTATCACCATAAATTACTTTTGCTTCTTGAGTATTTTATAAATTATACACATGTAAGTATGTCTATTCTCCATTTGATGAATGTTGGATGGCTCTAATATTTTTGTGTTGTTTTTGCTAATACAATTAGAGCTGCTATAAACATTTTCTACGAGTTATTTTATGGCCATACATTTTCATTCCTCCTTAGTAAAGAACTAGGAATATAATTGGGTGATTGGAGTAGGCTTATTTTTAATTTTCAAAAAAACACCAGTTTTCCACAGTAGCTACTCTATTTGATAGTCCTACCAGCAGTAGCAAGAGTTTCAGCGATTCTTGCCAATTTTTGTTTACAGTCTTTTTAATTTTAGCTATTTTCCTGAGTGTGAAATAGGATCTCAATGTGGTTTTAATTTGCATTTTTCCTGATAATTAATCATGTTGAGCATCTTTTCATGAACTTATTCTTCCTTCATATACCTTCTTTTGTGAAGTTTCTATATTCAAATGTTTTTCTCATTTAAGCATTGAATTCATTTTCTTTGTCTTTTTAACTTGTAGGAGTTGTTTACATACTCTGAATGTAATTGTATATATTATATATAATGATTGTGTATATAAATATGTATACAGATATAGATATTCCCAGTCAGCAAGCTACACACACACACACACACACGCGCGCGCGCGCACATGCACAGGCACATGCCTATGCACACACACAGCCTTATGTTTCTAAATCTGCTGTTTATCATTAAATAATTATTTTTATTTTTTTATTTCTGACAAAGTCCAAAATCCTATTTCTAATCATTTATTAGTCATCGTTTCCCTTTCCAAATAATTTTTGCCATCCCAAGATTGTAAAGATATTTTCCTATGTTTTCTTTTAGTTTTTCTAATTTTATTTTTATGTTTTAGGTTACAGCCTCAGCAACAGAAAGTCAAAAAATGCCAGTACTTTTACATAAACTCTGCCTCATAGGTGGAAGAAACATGGCTGGAACTGACATACTTCAGTGCACACTGCTATGGGAAATGGAGTGAATGGAGCATTAACTAAAAGACATGGCATCACTCAGACAAAGTACCTTATTGGGAGGTCAAGATGGTGATAGTCAAAGAGAACATTTGATTTTAATATGCCTCCTTCTTACAACCTCTCTTAATGGTAAGCTAAAAAAGGTAAACATAACCATAATATTACATTATATCAATAAAGTGAAAGCTACTATTGTTTATGTATTCACTTTTGTTTTTTATATTTAACGTTTATATATAATTATATACATAATGTTATAATGTTGTTATATATAGTGTTTTCATATAATGTCAAGTGACTAGACTGATTGTTTTGATTTTTAAATAAAAAATCAAAACAGCCTGTTTTATTAAAATTGACCATTACTTGTTTGAACTACTACTATGTCCATTAGGCAGTTTAGAGACCTTCATTAATGATAACAACATTAAAACACACACACACACACACACACACACTTGGAATACATACCTCCAGTGACAGGGTATGTATTGTGGTAAATTTTGTGTCTTCAAAATTTGGCCCTAGTATGGGAATGCACTAATAAGTCCCATATTATTTATTGATTGCTAAATGAGTATTAATAAAAATAGGGATCACACATTTGCACAATGCCTTAAGTTTCCAAAGCTTATGTTTATTTGACTCCCATAAAGGTAGAATTTCTTTGTAGAATGTAATAGACTACATTTGTAGTCTTTCTAGAAGACTTGGTAGAATGACCATTTATTTTAATTATTTTATCAAAAAGGCAAAATCCAAAAGAGTTAGATGACTTACGTAAGTACAGAAAACATTCAGTAGTAGAGCCAGAATTTAATTGTACATCTTCATAGCTCAAAGCTTTGTCTCATGGACGTGAAATTCTGAATGTGATTGACTTGTGGAAATTATCTTACATTCACCTTCAGACTGTTTTGAAGAGGGATGTGTCATTCATATCATTTAGAGTCACTACAGTAAATACATTTTCTCATATATGGAACTCCTATTGACCAGTCAATCCTTGAGCCTTTGTTGCAATGGATTAAAAGGCTATATCTGGGCTTGGCAGAAACGAGCAGTAGAATAATAGTCATGCATCACTTAATGACAGAGATACCTTCTGATAAATGCATCTTCATTATGCGACTTTGTCATCTTGCAAACACTGTAGAGTGCTCTTATGCAAACCTGGCTGGTATAGCCTAATACACACCTAGGCTATATGGTAAACTCTATTGCTTCCAAACTATGAATCTGTACAGCATGTTACTGTACTGAATACTGTAGTGATTACAACACAATGCTAAGTAATTTGTATATCTAAACATAGAAAAGGTATAGTAAAAATATGGTATTATTATCTTACGGGGCTATGGTCATATATGCATTTCATCATTAACTGAAATATTATGCAATGCATGACTATAGTGATATTGTTTGTGGGTGTGAGAAGAAGAACTCAGTTCAGGCTCTAACATATACTTATCATCCCTATGATAAGGCATTGTCTTTTCAAGAAGACACACATTAAAAAAGATGTTGTTTAACCTATATAGTATGGTATCACCCATTCCCATATTGAGTGTGGCATTTGATGGATGATTAAAATATCAGAGCATAATAGTTGTTGTCTTTTTAGGAAGGCATAGGGTGCACACTATAAACAATCCAGAAGAAGAAATGTTTCATGCCATTAAACTTACTCATTCAAAAGATACTGATTAAGCATAGACTATGTAATCGAGTTGTTTTCTTTTTATAATTTCAGTGATCATAAATAACACTTTATTGAACATTTTTGTATGCAGACTTTTTGTTAGCATTTTAGAATTTTTCTTTAGGATAAATTGTTATATAATAGCAACTCGGTATATTCCACCAATATGATTTTCAAGAAGCTTTCATGTTAAAACATAGACATCATTAAAAATGATGATGTAATTGAAAGGACTAAATTGAAAGAATAACCAAAAGATATACAGTTTCTCTGCGGCAAAGGATGTAGAAACTAACTATATAAAAGGGCTGTACAAAGTGGGAAGCATTGCAACATGCTCTTGAATGAAGGGCTGTGTTTTCCATATGTGTCAAAGCTACCTGTTGGGGCATCCAGGTAACACTGATGCCATCTATCTGGAGTAACAATTCAGCAATGTATGAGAAGCTCATATTCACTTTCTCGTCTTCCTTGCTGGTCTCGGCTGTTTTTGGAGAGTCAATGTGATTGCTGTGCCAGCTTAGTCACTAGGTTTAAGTAATTGGGGAAAAAAATGTTCAGTAGATTCTTGTGTTATCTGTGAGAATGGGTGCTCACTTAGGGACCATTTCTAAACTACAGTACACTTGCACTATTTTAAAGCTATATAATACACAAAGTTAAGTGATATACAATTAGTTGTTTTATGAGTTTCAGGTGATTAAAATACACAATAAATGATGCTACAGATGCAGGAGTGCAAGACAGAGGAAGACATAATCCTAGAACATTATAACTGGACAATTGATGGTAGTAAAAGACAATAAGGACCACTAAGAACAAAATTTATCTGTAAGTTGGCAAACTCTAAGATCTGCAATAGCTGTCTCTAAAACCTCAAAAGTCTACAGAGGGTCGTGGTAGGTGTATTAATAGCAAAGCGGTGACAATACTAGAACCTAATGTCAGATAATATGGATAATTTTCATGGGTCACCCTATTACTGTATGAAATTGAATACCTCACTTGGAATTTCTGAGTAACAGTGCCTTGTCAGATGAAAAAGTAACAATTGTCTACC